ATATTTGTAAAGAGAGATGTTACTTATTTACTTGGTAACTTTCGAACTTATAAAAAGGCTTTCAAAGCTCGAAGGTCGACCTAAACTTCTGCCTAACAAATCCTCTTAGGCCGGGTCGCAGCTTACGCAGGCGTCTCCGATTCAATTATTGGGCCCAATCATCCCTCCTCGCCAAATTTTCATTGTATTATCGATAAATGAAATTAGTTTGTAAATATTCGGTAGGAGCGCTCCGATTTTGTTTAAGTAGATCATAATTTAATTTGGCCGTGAAATATACAATTCGTCAGGTAATAAAGTCGCCACTAACGATTTGCTTAAATATCTTGGAGACAATAATAAGATTGTTATCGATATAGCTCATGAGACTCAGTGTAAGCTAATTAAGGCAGTAATTTATAGCTGTTAATAATCATTAATTTAATCAAATCTTTGCCACTTTCGCACATAATAAATAAAAAAAATCTACATAAAAAAATAATTTTATCAACAAAAATTTTCAGTACATCGGAACGGGGCAGAGACAAGCACTAAAATTAATCCTAAAGTGAGAAAATATGTCACAATACCCCGCAGCAAGAGATTAATAAAGAAAAGGAAAACTCTTTCAACGAAAAAAAACTCAAACAAATTGTTTATAAACTTATACATTTACTATTTCCGTGAGACTGGCAGTTAGTTTACCAGCTTTTTGCATAAAACGCTTTCGTGCAGCCAAGTACACAGTTAAGAGCTTTAAAATTTGTTGCGCATCAAACTCGCTCGGTGTGTATTTTGTCCGTGTTGAAGCATTGCACAAGAAACGCACCAAGTCTTAGGCTATACTTGCATTTAAGAGAGTAACGACAAAATAAGTTATTAAAGGCCAATTAATACACGAATATTTACGGCGGCGACATGGAGCCGCCTTTGTTGTTACACGGACACCCGGACAGACCTGTCCATTCGTGCAATATAGAACTGTTGCGTTGCCCTATCTTAGTTATATACATTAGTAATATTCTTTAATATATTTATATAAACAATATGTTTTAGCCGCGTTCGCACAGCTGATATACTCTGCTATATTATTATGCATGTGTTATACAAATCTATAACAATAAAATGCATCTAGATCGGTTGCGCAGTTTTAAAGATTTAACCGTACATAGGGACAGACAGACAGTGAGACGACTTTGTTTTATACTATGTAGTGATCTATTTTTTACTATATTGTGGTGTTGAGTACTGTATATTCTTGATCATCATTATTTGCATCTATTTTCTGTCCCTATTAATGAAATAATTGGCAATTGAATCGAGGATAAAAGGCAATTGAATGCATGTGCGTGGGGTTCCCTAACATGTTACAAACATTACATTTTACTCTTGGACAGTACTCGTCCAGGAAATAATTTTGTTCTCGTTCGTGTTCATTAATTTATCTTCAATATTCGGTTATTTACAAAGCATTCTTTACAACCGTCTAATTACAGATCTAGTGAACTTTTAGACTGTAAAAACAACTAACCAAACCTAACTGCTACCAATTTTTGTATCAACGCTTCTTGAATAAGTAAAAGTTAGGCATACGTGACAAATAAATTTATTCAAATGAAATATTTAATTTTTTAAAAAGCAGTTTTGTGGACAGTTTTAAGGCAGCACTGATCAGTGTAGTTCTTAAATTAAATTTTATTTGATGACACCCACAGAAATCGTGTTGTGTCGATATTTGAAAAGCAACTCAAATATCAAGTCAGTGATTTCTAGTTTCATTTGTAAAATTATTATGTATGTTATATACGAATATATCCAATCAAAATGACTTCGATTTTTTTCCGTATATTTTTTAGAGTTCTGTATCCAAAGGCTAAAACAGGGCCCTATTACTAAGACTCCGTTGTCTGTTTGTCTGTCTCTCCATCTGTCTGTTTGTCTGTCTGTCTGGCTGCCTGTCCGTCTGTCACGAGACTTTATCTCATGAACCGTGATAACTAGATAGTTGAAATTTTCACAAATTTGCCGCTATTACTAAAAAAACAGAATAAAATAATATTTAAGTATGGCTCCCATACAACAGATGTGATTTTTTGCCGTTTTTATTGAAAACTATAACGGTATGCTGTATCATAAAAAAATAAAAGCAAAAATTTACATAAAAATTTAAAAAATAATTTATTAATAGATGCGTTGGCAACCTTTTGAAAATTGCGCTCCGGCTACCTCACTCACCAGACGAAACGCGAAAGTATTTGTCATACTTCCACTTTACGCTGGTCTTCTGTGAGGTAGTGGTACTTACCCGGACGGTCCTGCCCATTCGTGCGCTATTGCACAGATGTCACTAACATTGTCTTGTTATTCACTTCTTTTATTTCAAAAATTCTATAGCAATCCTGAGAACTGTTTTTCCGGTGTCATCAAACGGCCGGCACCTATTTGGGTTGCTTTCTATTTTAGGATTTTTAATTTTATATTCCAATTTTAAATCGCTGTTGATTATGACGGAACATTAAGAGTCTTTGAAAATGTTCACAAATATTTACTGCCAGCAAAGGATTTCAAACAAAATTTTTGTCCACTTTTCTACAAATTCTTAAAAGAAGTGTAGCTAGAATTAGCTTGAATATAATTTTTGTTGACCCCGGCTCTACTTTAAGTAAACTAAAAGACTTACTTTCACTTAATGGTTGATGATTCATATCTCGAACTATTCCAGGCTATGTAAACAAACGGACAAATTTGCTCAAGTCCGGCTAATTTCCACCCACATTAAGATAAATTATTGAGAATACATCAAAGTCATTAATTTCTCGCTTTCGACGCAGCAATTACACAAATTACAACATCGCCGTAGGCGCGGAATTAATTCAGGCACTCGGAGCCGACAATGAGTGAAAGCCATCGTTGTTAATTAATTTAAGAAAGTAGTCCTTTTACCTTTATTGTGTACAAATTTTGTTTTAAACTTAAAGGTCTTTATTAGGTGACAATAATGATTCGACAATAATTTAAATGCACACGGAAACAAGTTATGAATGTGTTTACTTTACCGATGACTGGATGTGATTTGTGTGTGATTCTGAAGGTTCAGTGAGCGACACATATACAAAATGAATTTTATCACTCAGTTTGCCGAGATAGCTCATTGCCCGTGTACTCGCTTTTAATTCTACATACTCGAGCAACCCGAGTTCGATCCCTGGTACCAAAAAATTGTTAATCACATGAATAACATGAGGAATATGCAAGTTTACATATTTTTGAAATAAAAAAAAAAATATTCGCACACATGTGAAGTACGCCAATCCGCAGTGAGGCCGCTTGGTTGGACTTTGTGTTTCTGTGCGCAGATTACGTTACTTTTAATACTATTTGTATTGCAAGATTTGGATGGACTGTGAAAGGAGTTTGAATGATATGTCAGTGAAAGGAGTGATTATTGAGATAATAGCTGATATGGGTGATCATTGAGGAAAGTGGAAGGAAACGACATGTTGTGCCAACCACACCTAGTGTGGATGGATAAGGGCAGGAGATTCTTATGAGTGGCAACGAAGTATCCCTCTATTTTAGTGCATTTTTATCCTAGTTTGCCTAAGAGGAGGCAAAGGAACTGGATGTAAGAACTGAATTTAATTAAAATTAAAAATAGAAATCAGTTATAGTGTTTTGTGACTGCACTTCACTACTAACTTCATTCTGTTAGAAAAATAATTAGTGACTTGTTGTATATTAACTGTTTTTATCCGCTTATGGAGATAAGCTACCCTCATTTGGCCTCATTAATTCTCCGCTCTCGACTCGACAATTACATGTGCTGCTGTCATCGACCGAGGCATAAAATTTGTCAAGACCTTGATACAGATAATCTAAATAGTATCTCTTCTATGAATATATTAAATATTATTTTTTGTTATCGCTTCTCTTTATTACTTAAAAAAAAATTGTTTCTGACCCGTTTACAATGATAAGCATGTTGATGGCATGTTATTCTTCTATATCTTATTTATTCTAGCAAAATTTAAGTTGTGTCGAAAATTATTTTAAATTAGGATCGATGTGGCGAAATAAAATGGTCACTTTTAGTGCCCTGAAAACTTACATAATCTTTCCCACACTTATACTAGAAGTCAACACTTATTACTTTTGATTTCTTGTTACGGCTTGAGGGCTATAGCTTTTTTAACTGAAGAGAAAACAAAGAGAGAACCGTTCATTCTAGTCGTGACTAAATTTTTAAATTAAAGCTGAGATTCCAAATATACATCACCATGACGTTTCTGAATGCTCGAATGGTCTTTTAAGCCTATTAAGTTTCCCCAAGTAGAGTTCATTACGAAAACTCAAGTAAGATAGGTAAGATAAATGCTGATGACATTCTTTTTACAACAAATTATTCGTATTACATATATTAATCCATGCATTTATTTATGGTATGCAAAAATTATAAGAGCGCCTCTTTGAGTCACTTCCATCACAATCACTACGAGTTTTAAAACAAAATTAAAAATTTTAATCCGTTTGCTAAACCTTTCGATATTAAAAACTTAAGGCAATCTAAGACTTTAATATAAACAGCCTTAATTATTTATTCTCTCCTCCTATTCGAAACTTCGCTGAAGTTAGAACGTCTGGCTAACGAATTTAAAAGTAACTTGAGAACTGATCAAAGTTACTTATTCTTAATAAATAAAAATTATATTCAGTTATTTACCTCGAATTACTTCTCATCTGTATTTTTTTTATGTGAAAAGTTGCCAAGCGAGCAGACGGTTCACCTGATGTTAAGTAAATACCGTCGCCCATGGACATCTGTTACACCCGAAGGTTGCAAGTGCAATGACAACCTTTTGAAAAATGAGCTAAAATCTCCTCCTTTTTTGAAGTCGGTTAAAAAGGGGCTCAGAGCGCGTTGAACGGGCAGTTAACTCGAAGAAAAGGGAACGGAAAGAGAAAAGTGGAAAGTGAAGTAGAAAGTGAGTAAACAGAGTGAACGCGAGTGGTATAGAGGCTTACCCGATGGATATGTGCGGAAACGTGTGGACCGGTTCTCCTGTGGAAGCGTACGTGGAGTTTGGTTCGAGAGGGAACGCGCTGGCAGTCGTGTCACTGTAAGATTGGTGCGGAAGGGGAGAGTCGCCGCACCGGTAGCAGTAGCAATGACTGGAGATTGAGAGGTTCGCTGTGCACGTCTTTGTTGGCGTCAATGAAGTGAACATTTAAACGTCAGGCGTCTCACTCCTATCCCGAATATATAGCTCGTAACAATATATATTTTCCTTAGCAGCTTAGACAGCATATATATTTAATGGTGATTAGTAAAGTAAAAGTAAAGTAACAGTCTATACATGTCCCACTGCTGGGCAAAGGCCTCCTCTATACAGAGGGTATCAGGGCATAGTCCACCACGCGGCCCCACTTCGGATTGGCGGACTTCACATATCTTCGAAAAATATTTTTTTTTTTTGTAATTATTTCGAAAATATGTAGGTTTCCTCACGATGTTTTCCTTCACCGAGGAGTACGTGATAATTCAGCACTTAAAGTTAAAAACTTCATTGGTGCCGGCACCGGGGATCGAACTCAGGTTGCTCGAGTGTATTGAATTAAAGGCGAGCGCCCGGACACTGAGCTTTCACGGCTCTCAAGGTGATTAATAATAAATATTTTAAACCAGCAACTCTCGTAGCTAATAAAAGCGTGTCAAAAACCCGAAATGTAAGAGCACGAATAGAGAGTGTCTACTAACATTTGCTGGTTACAAAAGGGCTTCATAATCGCGCTTTTATCGCAAAGCCATTATGAAGCGGATCTTTTGAGCGCTGCGGTTTTCTGATTTGAATCAACCGACTGACGCCTCTCGAACGATAAGTATTCGTATATACAAACCATACGAGAAGGTAATAGTATGGGAATGAACAATAACGCCGTTCAAATATTTTAATGCCTTTTTAGGATTAAATACCCAAAGGGTAAAACGCCCATTACCAAGACTCCGCTGTCTGTCTGTCCGCCTGTCACGAGGCTGTATCTCATGAACCGCGATAGTTAAACAGTTGAAATTTTCATAGATGATGTATTTTTGTTGCCGCTATATAAACATATACTAAAAATAGAAAAAAAATATTTAACTGTGGCTCCCATACAAGAGACACGATTGCGCGAGAATCCCGACAGTGAGTTATGTTCTCTAATGTATATTTTATCAATGCAAGGCGCCAACTAGTGTGCATACTTAACAGTACTTGCAAAGAACATTTAACGATGAATATTTAATTAGAGATGTCGTCTTTGGTCTTAAAATTTATGATTAATATTTATTTTTAGAAGTAGTATATTTTGTTCATTTTATCTATTTTAAATAGCGAGAGTTCCCTAAATACAATGAATACAAGCAGTCGTCTGTCTTGGTTTGAATAGAGGTACAAAGAAAAACTTAGTTTTCTCCTGCGCCGAATAAGTGCGATACTTGTGATCATCGCATGTGTCAAAGAACGTAATAAATTATCGGTCTCAAGTCGTACTCCAGTTCCTAGTGAAATACATCGTTTCTGTACGTAGCAACTCTATGAAACGATTTCATTATCGGCGGGCGCAAATGGTCCTTAACCCATAACCGCCGACCGCGAAGTACCCATGCCAGTAGACTATCAAAATATCGAGGATAACTTCTGCTGGCGAAGGGAAATGAATGAAAAATGAAAAATTTCGAGAGACACGAAGAATCCATATAATACTGTACCTGCTATTTCACTTTACCATAGTGCATTTTGAAAAACTGAGACGACACAATTTGAAACAGAATATTTTTAAATTAATTAATTTCTTTGTACATAAAATCCTCGACGTTTACAGAGTGTTATAAATACCTTTAAATGCATTATTCAGTTACCAAATACTGCTGTACCTGCTATTTTACTTTAGCGTAGTGTATTTTGAATTACTCGTTGGTGTGTGTAGATAAATAAATAAGTTTTGCTAGAGTTGATAATAAGAAAATATTCATCATCACTATAAACTATCAAACAAAGTCATCTCGCTGTCTGACTGTCCCTATGTATGCTTAGATCTTTTAAACTACGCAACGAATCTTGATGTGGTTTTTTTTATTAGAGAGAGTGATTCAAGAGGAAGGTTTATATGTATAATACATTGTATTATATTATACTAGTGGACGCCGAGTGGTCGAAATTCAACCAAGTTTGAACATTATTATTCTATTGTCAAATACAATGCACAATAAACAAAAGAATATATAATATGTGTGTGTGTCAAATACATGGTAGTGTGTGCAATATTTCTATATTGATTTAATGTATTTTTTATGTATAATTAAAAAAAATATTAGCATTCGGCACTCCGTCTCTACATAAACTATAATTTCATACTCCTCCGTCCGCGCAATTTTCGTAAAAAGGGGTACAAAGTTTTTGCTTCACGTATTAATATATAGATAATGCTAAATATATTACACTAAAAGGTAAAAGCAACTATGTTCAAACCAAGAATTAACTTTGCGGGTGCAAATGGCAGTAGCTCGTGGGTACCGACAATAAACCCTTCTGCAAAGTTACTAATGACTAGAGTAGTCAAGGGGTCAAATTTATTTGGATCATTAAATCAGCGGCAGTGCCCGAGAATAAAGAGCCACTCCAGAAATATCCTTAGTAAAGTCATTAGCTAGATGGGCACTAGCCCTATGTTAATTATATAGGGCTGTCTGTAAAACGAATCTGTGGAAAGTTTGCTCAGTATTAATACTGGCAAATTTTAGTTTGCCTACGCCCCCCGCATCCATCGAACACTCATTGGCACAGATCATTTTGCAAAAGTTATCATTTCATCTGATGGGGGTCGTACTACATTTTAATAAGCAATGCAGGGCTATCAAGACAAGAATAAGATATACGACATAAAGACATTTATTCCGTCAACTTCATAAAAGATATGTTGGCATGACACGGTGAACGAGCAAGTGGTTCAACTATGGTATAAGTGATTTCTACCACCTGTGGATATCTGCATCACTTTTTTTTATGTGGGAAAAATCTTTTATGGATTCCCGCTGCCTTGTGGGCAGATAGCAGGGGTATGCGGGAGTTACAACGTGGTGGTACCCCCACCCACTAAAAACCCACGTTGCCCCTGCGCTGTCAATTTTGCCGGGGACACGGGAACACGAGGACGCAATCTTCCGCGAACCCCGGTGCGACTGCGGCCTTGTCAGGCCTCCTCTCTCCGGGTGTTTGGACACCCGGTCCAACCACATGGTGCTGTGTCGGCGCAATTAACACGGCAGCCCTCCGCGAGGCAGCATTTGGCCCACATCTGCCGCCTCAGGGCTTGCCATCAGGGGGGAAGGTTGGGCGCGTAGGCCAGCCTTCTGCGCCCTGGTCTCCGGCGGCGGCGTAATAAATAACACAAAAATCTAGTTTTTTTTTTAATAATCGTTTTCATCGTTTAATGATAATTTAATTTTGAAAACAAACCTTTAAGTAATGTATTAAGTTTCTATTAAGTTTTAGTATAGACCTTGCCAATTGAAATAATAGCTTCACAAGTGGATACGTCATAAGTAAACTAATAATTAATGTAACTTATATGGAAACCCGCAATTAATTAACGTATTAAAGAATATTTTGCATATTTTAATAAACAGGAAATGTGTGGTTCGTTTTCATTTGAAAGCAACGTTAGATTTGATTGCCATTAACATAAATTATTCTGAACTCAACAAAGTACAATGCTTTGAATTAATTTTAGTATTTGTATGCGGGACATTTTATTATAATTTGTAGATACGTTTAAAATTAACATCTGTCACCCAGTCGGGGAAGCGGTTTCGATTTTTTCTTGATTCATTTTCCAGTATCTTTGAAGGTATTCAAAGATACGGGATTCAGCATTTTATACATACAAACATCTACGCAAATGCACCATTTATGAATCTTTCTACGTCGTCCATTCTCGGTAGGTATATCACGTATCTAGATTGCATCGTTTTGATATAAAAAGTCATCAGCTACCTACTTATTAAACAGAACATTTATAGAATGAGGTTGGGAGATATTTAAGACAAACCTTCTGCCACAGTTTCGCGTTTTACGACTCTTGTAAGGTAAACGATATCAAGCGTAGATCAAAATCGTATTCAAAATTTCATTCACCGCATGCCGAGTCGTCTTAATGAAGTTGGGGATCTTATAGGAATTGCAGGGTATTGAAACCACAATACTTTTTTATACAAACTGCGATTGAGTTGCAATTATTAAATAGTGTTCAAAACGTTTTTTTTTATTTTCTTTTATGTATTAATAAGTCATCTGAAACATAGTTTAACATCACGGAACTTATCAATTTACTGACTTCTAGATGTCAACCGAAATTATACACCGAAATAGCTCACAGATGGCAGAATTTTTCCCTACTTACTGGACACTTATCGTTATATTTTGGACAATTCTCACAATATCTTTATAAATTATAGCCTATGTGTTATTCTGATGTATACACTATTATTATTGTAAAGTTTCATTAAAACCTATGTCTGTAGTTTTCGCATAAAGGAGTAACAAACATCCATACATCCATAAATACAAGTTTTCTCGTTTATAATATTAATATGGTATATAAAGAATAAGGATTAGTTAGGATTTGTAACCAAAACAGACCAAAAGATATTATCTTTTGTTATTTTTTGGTCTATTTTGGTTACAAATCTGTGTCTTTGGTTACAAACTTGTATTTTTGTTGTTTTCGTTTTGTTTTACTAGATGTAAAATCATAAAGTGGATAAGGACAGCCATTACGTAAGATAACTTGTTGAATCTTGTCTACATTCGTTTTTCTTGTACTCGTGTTTGCATTATAAATCATTCGCTCGGAAGCGTCTCTTTCAAAAGGTAATCGTGTCGAAAACTCTTTCCCTTTACAAATTGAAAGGACTACTCGAATATTTTCTTTGCACGCAATATTTATCATTATATTTTAGTCCTGTACATTGAAATACTTTTTTGAATTGGCTTTTGAAAATTATAACTGAAATAATTTTCGTAATATCAAACCTTAAATTGACGCATATTTTATATCCAATAACTATAATATATTGTGTTAAATTAGCAGATAATGGTTTTAAAATAACGAATTTTGTAAGATGCATTTAATAACTTGCTAATATAAAATAAACGATCATAAATTTAATTTTTTTATTCTTATTTTT